AACTGAAAGATCCGCGGGCACGAGTAAGTGTCAACTTCTGCCGGCAAATCACACGTTATTTCCACCATCCTTCATATTAATTAATCAGTGTGAAAATTTCTTTACTTTTGAGACTGTGGGCTCTACCAACCTCCGGCTCGCCACCTCTGGCAATGACCAGAAGAGCTGTCAGAAAGCTGCGCATGTGAAAGTGCAAATAATATCCTAAATGCTCAAAAAGTGGCGCGGGGGGGGGGGGGGGGGGGGGTGGAGGACCCCGAAAAGCAGGCAGGAGGGAGGAGCAGGGAGGGTGAACTTGACAAACTGTATACAAACAAAATACTGAGAAAACTAAATCCAGAACAAACCAAGAATCCAAAGTAACAAAAACCCATGCCAGAAGCAAAACTCTAACAGGAACAGAGTCAGCAACAGAACCAATGACAGCAATAGTGACAGCTACAATGACCCGACACCGAGTGGTCGGGCCGGGAGTCCTTTTAACAGAAAACCTACTAATGACATGATGACCAACAGGTGTGCCACTGTAGGAGGAGCCCTACAGAGCCACCTGTTGATCCCAAACAAATCAACCGTGACAAAGTGTCCCTTAAAAAAAAAAAACGTATAATCTTTTCAGGCTGCACAGAGGGGGAACATTTTCCATTTTCCTTCCATCTTCAGATCCTCTTCTTTTTTCATGGCTAAGCTTTCCAATAATTTTGTTCACAGCGGTGCCAATACTTTCATGTCCCCTGACATTAACCCTTTCATGCACCCTGTAACCTGATAACACGATAAGCTGTCCACTGTAGTAACCGCTGTCACTGAAAGGGTTATTTATTGTTGAACAGGCTATGCTCATTTGGCTAATGCTTGCTATATATTCCAAAGTCTACAAACACCTCGCTGGCTGAGATAAAGGTACTTTTCTCGATATCATCTGCGCTACCTCCGCAGGGGTTGATCTGTGGGTGGACGTCAACTAGATGCGCCTGCTGTGCGAGCGCGTCAGTAGATGTGCCACAGCAAGACTGCGGATCTCCGCGCGTTCAAAGTGTTGATCAGATTCAACATTGTTCAAGTTGAGCTTTCAGTGTGCGGGGGCCAGCCTGCTGGTGGAAATCCATCGCGATGCTTAAGTGAAAATGCTGGTCAGGCCATGGGGAAAAATGTAACAGGCTTTGAATTCATTAGATATAGTTTCCTCTCCAGCTATGCGTTTGCTATGCGGGGAAAAAAAACAACAAAGAATAGGAGGATTGCTTGTGACTTTCATCCATCTTGACACTCTGCGCGCCATTGAGTTCCTGTGAAAAGCCACCTTCATCGCTTTTATTGTGACACAGCCCTTGAATGGACTTTTCATGGTGTCATACAACACGGTGTTCTGATACAAGTCACAATGGCCAGTAAACAGGAAGATCATAGGAATCAGAAGGTGTAACCGGATAATGTAACATTATCTGTGAACGTGTAATTCCAACACAAAACCTGACCATGTTAAGACAGCCTCTTTCTGTTCTGTGTGTTGCTGCATTTCCAATAGTTGGAGCCAAACATGGCGCTAGGAGAAAAAAAAAATCCCATTACATCTTTAACAGCTTGGGTTGCTCCCTTAAGCTGTAGAGGGCAAGGAATAACAAAGCTGAGGGAAGTCGCAGCTCCTTACCTCTGATGGGCTATTAGTTATTCTCGTGAGCAGGAGCCCCATTAGGTCTGCCATTTAATGTTCCCATGCCACAGTCACACATGAAAGGTGCAAGATTGAAAAGCCGGCCATTGTACCTAGAGCATCCCTTGTATTTGAGAAATGTTTTGCCACATATATCTGACAAAGGGCTGACTTAGCTGCTTGTGTGCCTATGTCTCACCTGTCATATTAATGGAAATCACATTGGCCGGATAAAGAAAGGGATGGTAGAACTTCGCTGGATTTACTTTGCACGTCTTAGTACGGGTTTACAATGTACTTTCATGTGACCCACATCCTATATCACTGTTTAAATCCACATACACACCCAAAAGGCAGATAATGCACGACAAAGCGGTACAGAAGTCGCTTATGCTTCAAGCAACAGCAACATAGCAACACACAAACATGACAGTCAAACCACTGAAGTTGAACACAATACGTTCCTGAATGATGATCGACTGACGATTGCTTAGAAATTCAAATTTGTTTATCACACACAAGCGTCATACTTGCATAAATTAGTGTTTAACTTTAATAAAGGCACAATGTGTTGGTGATAGACGTTCGTCTCCTTTTTTAACACTCTTACTTGTCACAAAAGAGTAAAGAGGAAGGTAATCACAAACTTTGTCAACAAGTACTGAAATGCATGGTCCCACTGGACAAAAATACTCTATTGGGACAATGTTGGAGATTCCAACATTGTCAGCCTATTGTACTTCTGCTCACTTCACGTTCTTTGGGCCAATCCTCACGGCATCCCACATTTGCATAAAAATCAGGGCAGTACGGAGCGCACACCTGAGTACGCCATCCTCGGAAACAGAAATTACGCTTGCCGGAGATTGTGCATGACATTGGCATGTAAACTGTAATATCTCCCCTTTCGGATGATGTAGTCGATGGTGTGTGATGTGTACAATTGGAGACAGCCTTGCACTTTCCGACCGTCTGTGCGTGTGTGTGGGAAACCCGCCACAATAGTGACGGGATGCTATAAAAATCTTATCTTGAAATGATTATAATCCATTCAATGAACTGATTTCTCCAACGATTCAGAGGGATTGTCTGACACTGGTGTCATACAGTTTATCTGAATTAATTACCATGAGGTCCACCACACGTATCCACAGAGCGCCTGTCTGTCTGTGCCTCGATTAAATACACTAAAATGGCATTAGACAACCTGCGCTGCAAAATAGATCACCTTTTAACCCATCTAAAGTTTTGTCAACTTTTTGTCATCAAATTGCAAAATGCGCGGAGAGGGCGCGGCAGGAACACCCACTGAGGCGTAGCATGTCTACCAAATTCACAAACACATGACAAAACCATTGTCCCGCTTCGAAAATGACTATGTGAGCATTTTTACACTGAGTGTAGTTTCCTTTCCATCGTCAAATTATCAGGTGCGTCAGTGGTGAGGCTGCTTTGGGCGCCGGCACCAGACAGGTGCAATACAGGCCCAAACAAACGAGACTAGACCTGTGCTGGCACGAAAATGAAGTTACAGTAATTTTCACACTGAGCGATTTGGGTGCCAGTCTTCCAAAAATGTGTTCAAACACTTCTGTTGGAGGAAAAATACACATAGCAATGCTCATTGAAGTGAGCTCACGTAAGATATGCTGAAGATTTTTGTTAAATCATACATGGCAGTGAAGCCTCCCCCCCACCTCCCAAAAAAAGTTGAATTCAAAAAATAAACACAGCACATGCCCAGTCATTTGATGCTTGCTGAGCTAAAGTGTTCAGTTAGCTGTCCAAAGTTGGAGGCATCTGGATCAAATTTTGAATTGAATGACATAAGAGGTATTCTTAATTTTTGACTGTTTCTTCCCTCAGCAGACTTCAAAGGCATATAATCTCAACTTTATTCAACCTTTCACCATTGTTTTCATTATCCATCCATTATCTGAAACAGTCGACTCTGCGCTGCCCTGTTTTCATTATTTAATGGGCAATGCAGCTCCCATTTTATCTGTGTACTATAGGTATTAAAGGGTTTTTTTTTAAACCACATCTGTCGTTTTTGTAGCTATCTGTGCCTTGTGTGTACGATCTGCTGATGTTTTAATTCTGAAAGCATCCAATTATTTTTTTTTTCTGAACTGGACTTCAAAAAAACATTCCACATCTTCAATAAACTCACCCTCATGGCATTATGGTTTATAGGATCCAATGTACCGTATACTGTTACTGTTTACTGAATACGTTGTTAAAGTGTTTGGAATGAGGCTTGTGGTCCCGCCAATGCTCAGCCAAGATCCTATTGACATCAATCATCCCCCGTACAGCAGCTCTAAATCACGCTCAACTCAATGATAATAAGCAGCAGGACAAAAGAAGAAAGATGTGTGGTACATGCAGAAAAAGGCTACATATGCAAAAAAAAAAAAAAAAAGTACCTAATTAAACAACAGATTGATCTGTGCTTCCCGCCAAGGCTTTCAGTCTCACTCTCTTGGCGCCAGATAGTGTTTTAAAGTCACTCACATGAAAGAGCCCGACTTTAGTCCCCACTCTACGCTTTGAGTGAAAAGTTTTAGTCTGCACAGGGTACATGATTGCATCTATGAGTTAATTTATCAAGGAAACAGGTTTGGTAACTATACACAATTGGCTCTTCATTCGACCGTAAGCTGTATGTGTTGCAGCCTGCACTGACTGAACTTAGTAAATCTCACCAAAGAGCAATGTAATAAGGAACTGAATGCTCAAGGCATTACTGGAGAATGGAATCTATGCTGCCAATAAATGTGACTATATTTATGATGGTTGCCACTTTGGACTTACGAAGATATGCAACACGACAGAAAACATATATCGGGATTTACACGATAGGTGTGTTTGCCACCAAGGTAGCAAACACACAGGATAGCAGAGGGCCACCTGCACAGTGACTTGAACTCATCCATTTCTATTATGGGCATTTGGGGGACAGCAGCCATTTATGAATAAATAACACACTGGCTGACAAGATCAAGATCTATCAATTGCCTGTGTTATGTCAAAAATAAAAGATTATGCTGCTTTGTGCATAATTCATTTTGCGTGCGGCCCAGGAAGCGGAGCTGCCACTTGGATTGCTTCTAATGGGAATGACAGTACATTTTAGCAATAAAAGAGCATGGCTCAGAACAGCAGCTCTGAAGAATTTTCAAGCATTGCAAAGCAAATCACAGTGCACTGACCTTTACTTCCTTATCCCAAAACAGACAAGGGCAGGGGGATGGGGTGATCGTGTTTGTCTCCACAGATTGTTTGAAAATTTACCTCTCATGCCTCGCAGTGGAAATGGATTTTTGGAGGGCAACGGTCATACCTCGCATTCCCTGGAGCCTGAGATGGTGTATGTGTAAGGTCCTGTCCCATTAACCAGCACATCCATTGTCTCGGAGTGTGAAGGCTTGTAGTCCACGTAATACTCTTGCAGTGGCGAATTAAAGGAGCGCTCAGTCTCCCGAGCCTTTTTCTGCCGCTTTTTAACCGTGGAGCGTTGCTGAAGCTGCTTGATGCTGCTGGGATAGCGCTTCCACGAAACATAGATAACAAGTAGGATTATAGCCACGGACAGGAGGAGGGCCACAGTACCCGCGATGATCTTATGGAAGGACACGTACTCAGAGTCTGGTAAAGGGATGGTAGGAGAGGCCTGCGAAGGAGTAGGAGAGACTGTCCTGTTGTCCGCCAGCTTCTTGTCCACTTCGGGCCGTGTGGGAAGGGGAAGCGGTTCTGTTTGAAATGCAGAGGTGAGAGGCGCCCTTGTTGAGGTAATGGGGCTTGGCGTTACTGTGCAAATGTTGTAAGTCTCCACCACGTCGGTGACTTTTTCTCCTTGTGCCTCCTTAGGGCCCGTGCAAATCATAGTGGACTCCTTGTTTCCCTTGAAAGCCTTGAGCCAGTCCACTAGGGGGCATATGTTGGGGTTACAGTGCCACAGATTACCAGCCAGACTGACGGTGGTGAGGGAGATCCAAGTCTCGACAGTCTGTTGAGACACATTGTTCAGTTTGTTGGAGTCCAAGTTGAGGGTCTGGAGGTTGGGCAGGCATTGAAACGTGCTGGGGTCCAACATCTGGAGCTCGTTTCCGGACAGGTCTAGCTTTTGCAGGGAAGTCCACATCCATGACAGGCCCTGGGTCAGCAGTTTGATGCGGTTCCATTGCAAATAAAGTGCCCTCAGATTAGTCAGGCGGGGGAAATGAGCAAAGTTGATCTTGGAAAACTGGTTGTGTTCCAAATGCAGCTCGACCAGCTTAAAGAGTCCAGCGAAGGCGTTACGCGTGAGGCTCCTTAGCCTGTTGTAGCCAATATCTAAGAATTCCAGGTTGCGACAGTCAAGGAAGACTCGCATTGGGACAGTTTTTAAAGAATTTGACCTCAAGTGCAAACTGAGTAGCTTCCGTAGGCCCACAAATTGATTGGGTTGGAGTACCTGCAGTTTATTGTAGGAAAGGTCAAGATTTCGCAAGTTGGGAACGTCATGGAAAGTGTTGTTCTTGAGCAGGGTGATCTTATTGGAGCTGAGAATTAGTTCTTTAAGTCTGCGTATGCCGTGGAACGCTTGGCCATCCACGGAACCGATGTAGTTGTGATCGAGGTACAGCCAAACCAGTTGACCGAGGCCTGCAAACTGGTGGGCTCTCAGGTTCATCAGGCTGTTGTACCGCAGCGACAGGCCCTGCGTTCCCACTGACACATTGCTCGGCACATCACGGAAAGCATTGGATTCGCAGTAGATTATTTTGCCGTCGCATCTGCAACTCTGCGGGCAGGGACGCTCACGCATGGGGTTCGGAGCAGCCAGCAGCCAGACAGGCACCACCGCTATGAATACAAGCCATCTGCAAAGCACAGGAAGTCCTGCACACACACACACACACACACACACACACACACACACACACACACAAAGAGACTGTTAAGGAGAAACCACACTTCAAAACGTGAAAGGGCACATAAAACAAACAGAAAGTAACATATATTAATTTCATTTAAATCAAAGTGTCTGATTAATGTACTGGCTACCGCGGTGTTTTTCTCACTGTAGAGGCAAATTGTCTTTCTTGAGCAAGAAAAACGATTGGTGATTAAAACAGGAAAAAAGCATCAGGTAATCTGTCAAATGGCCGATGAGGGACAAACCTCAGCATCCAACTCAAGGCAGCTATTAGAAGCCTCGAGGGGTGCAAAGAAAACAACAGCATCACTGGTTGAGGTGAAGTTCAAATCAAAAGGATTATTTAAAATGAACATTTAGAAAAATGTCATAAGTAGCTTGCAAGGACAAGCGCACATACCCATACTTGCGCGGTGTCGGCTCCTCCTCATGTTACAGCTTTCTGTTGCATGCGTCCCAGCTCCACATGTTCCACGAAGCCGGCCAAATAGTGGAGCACGGACTCACAACGCTTGTTTCGCACCGGGTGGCAAACGCGCACTTTTGCGTATGCAGACGCACACCTGTCAGAGACGACAGCGTCTCCAGAAAAAGTGGGACTTTACTTTGCTACGTTACCGCAAAGGATGATCAGGATGTTGCCCACTCGTGACGAGCACCTTGCAGAGCCCTTGGAGCGGTAAAGCCCGAAGCCTCGCCTGGGCACGGGCGAGAAGATGGTTAAACATCCGGCGGCCAATTGTTGAATCGGGTTTAATTGGGTAGCACAAGACGAATTGATGACAGAGCGCGTGAAAAATAATGCGGTGGGAGAAAGTGTGGTCCGAGACCGACAAGTTGAAGGGATCCGCATCCAGCGTCAAGATGCAGTCTGGCGCGGATCAGAGCCGATGACCGTGTCATCAAGAATGAATCAGTTGAGTAGCAACAGGAATTGTGTCGGCGGAGATCCCGGCGGAACAAACGCCTGCATCTTTTTTTGGCCCTCAAGTGCCCCCTGCTGGTCACTCGTCATTTGCAACACATGAGATGTCTTGATTGATTCCTAACTGACTCTCCGGCTATTGAAAGCGGTTTGAGCCGAATTTTGCTGTACTGTATTCTTGTTATCCAGCTTCAGGTCCACTAACGGGTATATTGTTTGTCCTCACTAGTCAGTCTCTTTAGCATACTAGTACAACGACGATGTCTTAATAGTGGTGTTTTTTGTTTTGTTTTGCCACCATTATGTGACATTTCTCCACGCTAGTAGCAAAAATAGCAAAAAATAGTGTTACAACTCATTACTGGTGATGCAGAGCGTTACTGGTAGGGTTCAGGAGGCCACTAGAGTGTGACACATACCCTTCTTGTGGGCCAAGTACTGTTGTAGTGCTGTACAGTCGATGACTACTAAGTATTGATTGCATACAAGTAGGTCAGAAGTGTCACAAGTAGTGTAGGTCAGACACAACGAAATGTAGAGCAACAGATTAACTCAGATATGTGCGAATCTGAGTTTAGGATCACATGAACACCACAACTTAATAACTGTCCGCTTTGCAAAATACGAAACACCTGTAGCTAACCTGCACACCTTTTCAATCATGCATTATTGAAAAAAATGAATCAATCCATTTTATCGAACGGAGGTTACTCAGTTATTGTAGGATTTTTTAAAAAAAGAGTTTTACGAAAAACACACACACACACACACACACATACATCACAGTGTATTGTTCCCTGCTGACAGTAAATTTGAGCATGCGTGAACAAAGGTTACAGCGAAGGCCTCATAATGGGGTTTTAGTCTGGGTCAAAGTTATCACTTCTAATGGCTCCCTCTGCCTCCATATTTAGTGGCAAACATAATTGCCAGCAATGAACATTGATGAACATTTATGCTCAAACTGCCTATGGTCAGTGGAAACAAAAATTAAAGTGATGTATGTAACACATCAGAGTGGCAGCCACTGATTTGATTTCCACTGCTGAACACGAAGGCTCAGTAATTACACACACAAACCAACAGTATGATCAAACAACAAAGATTGATTTCAGTGCAACTTCTCAGTCACTCCAATTTATTGTTGACAATACCACCGTGTACAGGGTAGCATCACTTCAGATTTTCCCTGTTAGAATCCAGAATATAGTATATAATTTTTGTAATGCGGGAGAAAACCTGGAAAAAAAACCCATGGAAACACGGCGAGAACATGTAAACTCCACACGGGAAGGCCAAAGCCGGATTCGAACCCTGCACCTCTGCACTGTGAGGCGGATGTGCTAACAGTCGCCTACCATGCTGCCTCTCTTTAAAAACAATCAGTTAACATTCAATGATAATGGTGCAAATGTTAATGTGTTTTTAGGTACGTGGTCCTCTCTTCCATCACTGGCACTCTCTGTGGTGGCAAAACAAACAGAAACAATTAACAGAAGGAAATATGAAATGCGGCGGCCCGTCGGTTGAGTGATGAGCACGTCGACCTCACAGTGCAGAGGTACCGGGTTCAATTCCAGCTCTGGCCTCCCTGTGTGGAGTTTGCATGTTCTCCCCGTGCTTGTGTGGGTTTTCTCGGGGTCCTCCGGTTTCCTCCCACATCCCAAAAACATGCATGGCAGCCTGATGGAACACTCAAAAATTGTCCCTACGTGTGAATCTGAGCATGGATGGTTGTTCATCTATGTGTGCCCTACGATCGGCTGGCAACCGGTTCAGGGTGTCCTCTGCCTACTGCCCGAAGACAGCTGAGATAGGCTCCAGCACGCCCCGAGAAACTTGTGAGGATAATGCGGATCAGAAAATGGACTTCCTGACGTTCTTTTAGAAGTACTGCGACAGGCAAATGTGGACAAGGCATGAATATCTGAATCATGAAGTCTCACTGTACAGTTCAGTTATATTCATGACAACCAGTGAATGAAAATGAGAGTGATTCCTGATACTTACTTCAAACCAAATTTGCTCTAAATTGTTATTTGGGGGGTTTTGCTTGCGTGACCTGAGCTTAATCCGTGCTCATTACTCTCGTCTTTGATGATTCCCCTTCAGGGCCTATCAGGGGAAAGTTCACCCTGTCAGAGACGAGCACTGCTGCCTTCTCTCAGCATGGGAAGAACACAAGCTCCTAGCGCAACAAACAAAAGTGGAGTGTCACCACACGCACTCACCACACTTTGCAAATAACTCAGCCACCAAATTGCTTCCCATGAAACTTTAATGACTGTCTGTGACTGACTGAGCCCTGAATAACAGAGCAAGCAAAGGACCTGCTTTTTTTGCAGAATAATGACTCCCGCAGAAACAGGGAGCACAACTGTATAAATAGCCTAATAATTAGAGCAAAAAAGAAAAAAGAAGAAAAAAACGATTTCAAGCATTGGAGCAGCCGGTCTTATTTACATTTCTAAATATGTAAACTAATTAACCGCTGAATTACACTTACAAAATGTGTGAACAGCAGGTAAGCATTTTTGAGACAATGGGTCGCGCCAAAACATCTGTTCCCTTATTCCCCTAATGAGAATGAGAGGGAAAAGGGTGCTGCCTTCACTTTCTTTTGACTTTGGTACAAAGAAAGAGATATCTTACTTGAACCCTTGGACTTGATGCCTTCAGCTTGATCCCAATCTGACCACAGCTCTGTGATCAGCTTCTTAAAGGTTTGTATGCGTCTTCAAACATCAGCTTGTCTAAACTCGATGATCAGACGAGAACGATGCTTGAGCTTTTTTCATGATGGAGAGCTGAAAAATTATCCTGTCCTGGATACGTACCGTATGCTGTTTTTATTTTTGGGAGCCTATGATTAGCATTTAATCTCTTTTAATGAAGCCACACTGCAGTCACCAAATCCGTTCTGCACCAAGGATGCAAACATGCAACACAGAACAGCAGATATGAAGTGCGGTGAACAAACCCTAAAGACACTATGGAAAAATATTTAACAGGGATGAAAACAAAAGCAAAGAGAGACAAAAAAAAAATGTTCATTACGTTATTCTTCATTGCAAGTTGTTTTTGTTTTCTTTAATGATGAACAGTGTACAATGTTATGCAGAGGTGTACTTATAACTATTTGATATTGACAAAATATACTATTTATAAGGGAGAGGTGGGGCGGGACGCGAAATATTTCATTTTCCTGGGGGGTGGGAGGAACAGAAAATAATTGAGAAGCACTGGTCTAAAGCCAATTAAAACACACCAATCGATAATCTCTTGACTTTTGTAGCACACATAATGAGGCCAAGTCAGTTATGTCAGTTGTCTAGGAAACAACACTATTTTCGTGCTCTGTGCGAATCTAGAGCAAAGCACAGTCTAACTGTGTTCATGAGTAGCGTTTTCTTTGTTTTGGTATTTTCCTAGACTTTGCACAAATAGAATGGGCGTAAGGGGGTTATTTGGGCCAATGTGGGATAGATCACAGCTGACTCCCGGCCAATCGAAGCGCTCTCCCTCATTTGCATTAAGCGAAGCACACGCAGTGCTTGACATTGCAGATGCAAAAATGGACTCGCTGGGTTCCGTGCGTGACATTGGCATGTGCTAAGTGTATAAATACAGGGAAATAGCAAGATCTCACCTTGCGGATGATGCAATCAATCGCGCATGCATTTGATGTGGGCAATTGGCCTTGCACACATGACCGTACGTCCGTGTTTGTGACCATCTCCCCACCAATAGTTGTGCCGCAGGGTCAGGGGGGTGCTATTAAAATATTTTTAAGATAACAATGATTATAATTCGTTCAATGAATTGACTTCTACAACGATTCAGAGGGAGTGACTCACGCTGTTGTCATAGCTATAAATGCAAAACTGTATGTCTGTGGGGAGCCGAATCTGTATGACTGCACCTCGATCAAATAAACCACCTGCGGCAGCATTTAGACCGGGTTCTGGACAGTCTAAAATGTTGTCGAATTTTCTCACCAAATTGGCAGGCGCGCCGGGGGCGTGTAATACGAAACGCCCTTGGCTGGAATGCCTCGTGATGCGTAGTGCGGTCCACCAAATTCACAAACATGCTAAACTAGACGAGATGATTCAGATTCTGATTCTATGATAACCTGGACTGCCAGTTGGCTCGCCTGGCTGAAGGCAAATGGCAGCCATCTCTGTTAATGCAAACTTATGGGTTTTTTTTCTTGCTGAAAACACTGTTTTCGGTGCATTTTTTTTTACATCAGAATGCCTTCTGTCATAAAGTTCTGAAGTCCCACAGTCCTGCTTTAAATCCTTTTAAACATCCATGGAAGGAGATGAAACATGCAGTTCTGTCGAAGGTGTCCCTGTCAAATATTCACAGCTGGAGCAACAGATGCACAAATGAGATTGAGAGTTAAAGAAATCGTTTGATTTCAGTTCTCATCATCTGTCCTGTCAGTTTGAGCTTCTGAAGTGCGTGAGCGATGCTACAGAGGCCCTGCGGCCAAAGTTTCTTTTAAAAAATAATTTATATGAAATCCCATCACGATCCTGAATTTACCGAAGTAACCAATTACTTTACGATCTTGAACTGCTCCTTGTTGATATTTGACTTGCTTTATGACATCTAATTTTACCTTTACTTTTATTTCTATTCTTAATATACTGTAACTTACTCACATTTATATGTTTCTATTGTGGGTTTTATATGCACCGCTGTCAGTATTTTAGTCCTGTCTGTCTACTGTGCTGGTGAACAAAAGACAATTTTTCACCTCGGACGACAATAAAGAATTATTCGATTCTATTTCATTCCATTCTAGTGCAGTGTTGCCACAAAATGTTACGCAACAAAATCGTCATGGTTCAGTGAGGAAAGGAGGACCCAAGAGCAGGCTCTGACAAAAGATTAAAGTGTTTATTGAGTCACAGGTGGGGATTCCGGTAGGGGAAGAGGCAAGGATGCTGGGGAAGGAGCTCTCAAAGGAAAAAAAAAACAGAATCAAAATCATTGAGCTGCTTGTATCCCTTGCCATTAACGTGAAAGAACAATTGCTGAATTCCTTGCGTTCATCTTCTTTTTTGGCTAGACTATTTTTTAGGCTCCCTCAAAGGAGTAAGGAGAAATGTGAAAACACTGAAGTGGGTAAGCCGTACCTAGCATTTGTGTAATACTTGGTATCACTGACAGTGTGACAGCCAAGCACAGCAATCAAATCTGTTGCACACTCAAAATTAACTTTTCGAGTGGTTCTTCTGTTCCTCTGTGACATTGGGACGATCTACATTAACATCATTTAGCAAAGGTGAATTCACCTCCTGATCTCACTTAATGGGGTTGAAACAGGTTAATTGTGCTACATATCAAAGAAGTGTGATGTGTCGTGCATTTCTTTGCTCTCTTAGCCTTCTGTTATTGGCAGTGATAGATAGCGGTTATCACCTCTCTGAAGATGATTGCATTGTAAATTCCCCACAGCAGTCTCTAATGTGCACGCAGTCAGTTAATTTGGGATGTTTTCGCACAAAAGATGAGATGCCATTGATAAAAAGAAAGAAAAGATCATGAAAGCCTTTTTTTTTTGAAGTGATACAGTGTCCTTCTGCCTGGACATTCACAAAGGAACACCTTCTTTCAGCATCAAAGGCAAGATAGATTGGTCTTGGATTGAGTCCCATTGTGGTTATGAAGGACTGCTCATAAATGCATTTGGACATGATGGACACAAGTATTGGGACACCTACAGCACCTGCAAAAATGCTCAACATTTTTATGTGTTTATCCAGTAGGGCATCCTGTAGTTCAGATTGCACACACTCTTTGTTGTAGTTTTCACTAGGTTGAGGTCAGGGTTCTCAAGTGTTTTCACACCAAATTCATCCAACTATGACTACATGGACCTTGCTTTATGCACATGCGGGACTCAATGGTGCAGAACATGGCCTTCTCCAAACTGGTCCCACAGAGTAGGAAATTTTCAAACCTAATTGGCAATGTAAAGATCGTAACAATCATCCACACATCCATTTCCATAAATCCATTTTCTAAATCGCTTGTCCTCATCTGGGTCACGGAGCCTATCCCACTTTAGTTTGGACGAAAATTGGGGCGCATCCTTGGCTGGTTACCGGCTAAATACATAGGAAGGCATAGTAAAGATTTAAAGGAAAACTAGGAGCTCTAGTATCTACTATGAAATAAGGAATATTAATTCATTTTAATCCAAGCCATGATACTCTCGAATTGATGTGGGTGTTGCAGTCGGTCACAGCGCCACATTTGGGGAACAGGGCGCTATCGTCCCGTCAGAAATACAGTATGTGCAGCCCAGGCAAAGCCCCTCCGGGATTGAATTTCAAATGCGTGAATATTTTATTTTATTAATTTAATAAAGTTTAAAAACATTATGAAGTTCGCAAGTTTCATTCCCAATTCAATCCCTGTTTCCGTGTTTTTGCTGCACCCACCCACGGACGAATAGACTGAATACATCATTAATCTCAACTCAACCCATATTTATGCACCTACCCCGTGCGTATTTGGAAAGGGATGGGCGAGGTGGGTCTTTTATTTACGGTCGGCCTTGCGAGTTAGTTTAAAGATTTTGCTTTTGCCCGATGGTCACTTGTTTTGGGCTGAATTCTTTTGTTGATTGTTCTTTGGTCAAATTCGGTTCAAACTCCTTTTAAATCGAACATGCTTGTGCAGTGTATCGTTATTTTACTGAGGAGAAAAAACGACAACAACTTCATAAAATAGAAGTGATGAGAATTGATTCTTTTCTCAGACGTCCCCCTTTATTGATTTGAATATCAGGCTGAACCTCAACAGAAAAACATTTTTGCACACAAGGTGTCGCTGTTACCACACAGTACAAACACAGGTACGGCTCTGTTGTCTGTTGTATATCCCAACTGTAGCTTCAAGCAAAATGAGCCAAGTATGGAAAAATAAATATGAGATTAGCTCAAATTTACTCTCCTGGCCTGTTAAAATGGATTCCATTCCCTGGCGTCCCAACTCTCCAGGCTTAAAAGAAAATCGTCTATTTATGCCTTCTCCTGCCTGAAAGTGCAGCCTGATGGATGTGTGGTCAGCATCACATTTAAGTGAATACAGTTATCAACTAACACGCGCAAGTATATCATTACTAATTCATAAGTGATCCAGATAATTGGTGGATTAGAGATTGCTTCCATGCAAAGAATTTGCCATGACCAATTTAACACACACACACACACACACACACACACACACACACGCACGCACAGATAATCTCTCTCTCTCTCACTCATATATATATATATATATATAAAAGAGTAAGATAGTTGTCAAAAATATGTACTTTGTCACCCGGCACAAAAAGGCACGCTAAATAACTGTTTCTCGGTGGATTTATTTATATGTATGCAGAAATGTTTTTCATACACATATCTACTGTAATTATGACAATATTGAATTTGGAATAATACTGTATTAGACGGCGAGCTCCGATTACGCATTACGTCGCCGCAGGATACAGGAAAGGGAACTCCGTCGTAAACCGAGGACCACTTTTATTATGATAAGAATCTCCCGTTATTATATCTCGGAGTACTATATTTTTGTCACAAAACCAGAAAGAAAGCAGTGAGGGATGCTATTAAAGCATTAATAATGTAGGAAAGTGATGAATGATGAGTTTTTACCGTGTGTGGTGAGAAAGCGAAAGCGCGAAAGAGAGAGAGCGAGAGAAAGAGAGAAAGAAATAAAAAGAGAGAAAGGGAGAAAGAAAGAGAGAGAGAGAGAGAGAGAGAGAGAGAGAGAGAGAGAGTTGGTTCAGTGTCCCTCCATCAGCGCGCCACACGATGATTGCATTGCACATTGAACACTGAACGAGCGGCGACCAACCTCGCACCCGGGGCGAAAGCTTCCCTTTTGGTTTTGCTTTATTTACGACGCCGCATGGAGGATTAAAACTTCCCGCTGCGTTTCTCTTACTGAGAGCGAAGACACAGGTGGTGGTGCTCAGTGTGTCCCGTATCCTGCACGAGCTGCGTTTTCTCCACATCTGTGGGCAGATTAATATGCTCTTCATCGATTTATTTCACAGCGTCACTCCTTCGCTCAGAAACCATGGGTAAGTACATTTTACATGTATTTTATATGCTTGCGGTGCTTTCAGTTATTTTTATATGCATACAACTCAGTGACATTTTCCTCTACCCAGTATGCCAATCATGCCTGCTATTGGTGTTCGCCATCCGTAAACTACCTCAAAATAGTTAATCTCAGGCTGTTATAAATTTTTCATGAAGCGGGTCTGCACATCACACGTTTTCTCACTTCGACATTCAGCGTTTAAAGGATAAAGAAGTTCTTGTCTTTACTTATTTAAATGTCTTTGAGCGCAAATTCTCTAAAAGCAAGGCGCTGTTTTGATTGCCTGTGCCCCACTTTATTCCCCCAACAGGTTCTGTGATGTTGGGCTGGAGGTTTTCATGTGTTCTGGTGCAGGCAGCTGTGTGGCTGCTGCTCAGCAAGGGGGAGAGGATGTGCCCTACGAGTTGTCGCTGCGAAGGCAAACTCGTCTACTGCGAATCAGGCATTTTCCAAGACATTCCGCAGAATATCACCACGGGATGCCAAGGTCTATCTCTGCGCTATAACAACCTGCAGGTGCTGATGCCCTACCAGTTTGCACATCTCAATCAGCTTGTCTGGCTCTACTTGGACCACAATTCCATCAACGCTGTGGATGTTTTAGCCTTCCACGGTGTGAGGAGGCTCAAAGAACTCATCGTCAGCTCCAATAAAATAGCCCACTTGCACAACAACACATTCAGCGCCATTCCAAACCTGCGGAACTTGGATCTATCCTACAACAAGATCCAGTCCCTGCAGCCAGGACATTTGTTCGGCCTGCGCAAGCTCCAGAATCTACACCTTCGATCCAATGGACTAAAACAGATCGTAGTCCGTACCTTTCTGGAATGCCGCAGCCTGGAGTTTCTGGATTTGGGATACAACCAGCTGCGGAGCCTCAGCCGGACAACCTTTTTGGGACTGTTTCGCCTCAAAGAGCTTCATTTAGAGCACAATCAATTTTCTCGGATTAATTTCTACATTTTCCCACGCCTCACCAACCTACAGGCTCTTTATTTGCAATGGAACCGCATACGAGCCGTCAGTCAAGGCGTACCTTGGACCTGGTTTAAATTGCAGAAACTGGATCTTTCGGGGAATGAAATCCAGACGTTAGACCCCTTGGTTTTCCAGTCACTGCCAAATTTACAAACGCTCAATCTGGAATCCAACAAGCTCAGGAGCGTGCCCGTAGAGGCCGTGGCGGCGTGGACTTCAGTGACCACCATCGGCCTTGCCGGGAATGCCTGGGACTGCAGGCCGAGCATCTGCCCACTCATGGCATGGCTCAGGACCCTGAGGGATGCCAAAGACATCAGCATGATATGCAGCAGCCCCAAGTCTACGCAGGGAGAGAGAGTTGTGGACGTCGTGGGGAACTATTCCAACTGCGTGAACGTGATGTTCATTGTGAATACGACCACCGCTTCGGTAGTCTTCACTTCAAGCCCCTTTGTCAACGCCACATCTCACCGTCTCTTCCGTGGTGTCACGCAGCTGGCTCACAGTGAGCCTCCTGTGAAGACCTCACCGCCTTCAGCCACCTGGCCCAGTACGACAGACAGACAGAGTGTGAAGCCCACAACCGGGAGCTCCTCACTGCCTCCCTCCCCCGACCCTTCAACCACATCCTTCCCAGAGATACCGTTTGAACATATGGCTTTCCATAAAATCATCGCAGGCACTGTAGCCCTGTTTTTGTCAGTGTCATTGATCCTCCTGGTTATTTATGTCTCATGGAGGCACTACCCCAACACCATGAGGCAACTGCAGCAGCACTCCGTCAAACATAAGCGCAGGAAAAAAGGCCGGAAGCAGGAGCAAGACCTGAACTCTCAGTTGCAAGAGTACTATCTGAGCTACCATTCAAATTCCGAGACCATGGATTCGCTGGTGAATGAGTCAAGGCCGTGCACGTGCACCATTTCAGGATCAATAGAATGCGAAGTGTAGGGTTTCGCTTGTCTTTATGAGACAAGAAGTGACATTTCTGGGCAAGTCTGTCGTCAGATAAATGATTTGATAATAAATGGCTTCATGAAATGTTCCTCTCCACTGCGTTGAAGGAAATGTACGGAAAGCGAGTGAAATATATCTGTGTGGACAGAGCGGAGCGAGGCGATATTTCTGGAGCTCATTACTGAGACTGACACGGGAGCCGTGGCATGGCAGTGTCATCCTGGTTACCTGTGCGTGACCCAATCGACAAACTGACCACGAGTCGACTCGTTGGCCCTTTCGTTCATCACACTGTACGTAAACCATCTGTAAAGCAACAGAGACATTTTTTTTTTAACTTGCCTGTTCATATCGTGCTAATTATATAATATGTATAATATGAAGTTGTAGGGGAGAATCGTTAAGTATTTGAATATGTACAGTGTGAGCCAAGAGGAGGAGTTTATTTCCCTGCTCAATGAGTCCAAGGCCGATAAATATTGTCAATTTTAATACTTAGCTATTTGACGCTTTGTCCTGCCGGTGCATAAGTTAAAAGTACCAGTGACCCATCCGTTTGGGAGACCAACCCACACTTGTCTCATCTGCTGTATGGAGGATGCTCATTTAGTCCAAAGTGTTTCTAAGGTGCGTTCCATCTCATCCGTTTGTTTATGACAAAACTGTATCAGAGCAATTGATCATAATGCTGTTTTATATATGATATGACTAATATTTTATTGATTATGCTTTGTCTGTAAAACGTGCTAGCAAATCTGGCTCAAATTAAAGGAAACACTTGTGGTGAAAATGTGAGCTGGTGAAGGAAAGGAAAGGAAACAGGCTTTATTTCTGCAGAATTACAAATTTCACGGGATGTGAAGGCGCATATAAAATTGATGGCGTATTTTCCCGTTTTCCAACCTCTTTTGCGACTCCTCTCTTGACTTTAATAACACTGACAACAGTATTAACGGAATGTGGGTCATTGGTGTTGAATCCAGCCGCTTTATATAGAAAGCCGTTTATTCCTCCTTTCACAAAAAACTGACACCAAAAATAACAATTAAATAATAACTAAAGACACAATAGGAAAAAGAGAATTGAGGCAGGCCACAGGCGGATTGTGGTTGCCGTAGGTCAAGTCTGTTATGCGACAAGGAAGACATTATCTGCCTTCATCTGTCGTCTTCCTCTAACTTGTTTCCACCTCCGTCTTTTAGTCTTTCCTTGAACACTGAAGATAACCTGCACAGGGGACAAGTGGGCATGTGTTGAGTCAGGCAGGATCAATTGATGTTCTAGCATGTGAAATGTATTAAAAAAAAAAAAAAAAAAAGGTGATTTTGTTTCCCCTGTGAGCCACAACCTGTACAATTCATCAGTTAACTCCAGATGTTTTCATCCCGGCTGTCATGCATGTCATTCCTTGTATATGTTGTTCATTTTGTCGGTGAAGACGGTATAGCAGCATTTCTGACAAGTCCAATTATTTGTTTTGATTGATGGTGCTTTGTAAACGACTGATGCTTGCATTTATGATGATGAATTTCTTTCAAAGACCGATGGGTACGTTTCCAAATGCAAAAACAAAAGGAAAATAGCAAGAACAGTATAAATGATTTGTTGATCCAAGTTTGACAGATATTGTAATGACTCTCTAATACGTCATGCGATGACTGATGAAAAGCAATTTTCTCATGTTTTTGTGCTGTGTGTAGCTAAGAGAAGAATGCTGATTAGAAAGTTGCGCTCTGCATCTTGCAAACCATTATCGGAGTTATTTGTTTTGGGTGAAATATTGCAGCAGTGCACAGTATTGACTGAGCAACAACAAGGTACAAATACAGCCGCACAAATGTGCAAAATCGGGGAGAGGGTGGCGGGAAGTATATATGTTGTCAGCTACCTGAAAATGGAGAATGTCCTCGAGATGACGGCGGCATCTTACAGTTGACAGCAAAAACAAGCAGCGGATGAGGAAAAACAGAATTGGAAAAATCCTGTCGGCAAACGTCCAGAAATGTGATTGGTTTTCTGTGTGTTCCTCTAACGTCAAACTGTGAGGGGCCAGCGCTCACTTGGCAGGCGTGATATTTTGATTTACATCTGTCACTGCACATTCTTTTTCCAGCAGAACATCCGCGCAACCCTATCCTTGTGTTTGCCAAAGGTTAGAGCCTAATTTAGAAGGTAAAATGAAGACAATATTGGAATGGTGACATCCAATTAAAGATGCAGCTTAAGTTTTGATTGTCATTGCTTAATTTTCTGTTATATGAGGTAAAAAAAAAACAAAACAAAACCCAATAGCCATTTATAACTTTTAACCAACTTCTTTGCAGTCTTGTACAAGTTCAAAATCAATATCTTTTCATGGTAATGTTGTACATACTGCACTCGTCCTCCTACCTAAACAATGTCCCCATTCAAAGGAAATTATATTTTCAACTCTGTGAAATCTAATTGTTACATAGCAACATTAAATATGTCCCAGAAATCATCTAACACATGGACGAGGACCATACTGGGCAGCTTACATTTGTTTATTAATATGTGAATAAAAAAGTAAGATCTTCATCAGGGTCTTGAAATATTGGGGCCTAATGCTTTTTTTTTTTTTTTTAACTTTATATTTTTAAAATATAAAAGCCATCCAAATATGTTTTGGGAAAAAAATCACTCCCTTAGAAATAATGGTAATTGAAAAAAATCTTCTGGGTCAATCTATAGCTATCATTGAATTTTTCAAGATGAGACCGTTCATTCTTAATGGAGTGGGACGAAATTACCGGTAGTACTTTTCTTCACACTCCTTTTGCGGCTGGGTCTGAAGTTTTGATTGGAAATTTATGTTTTGGATCTCTTGTTTGTGTTGAGCGCTGCCTGAAATGAATGAATAAATGACTAAATTGTATTTGCAAGTGAGAACAAAGCCATTGTTCATAATTTGTTTTGTTTGTTTTTTTACATCTCACCTTGACGATTGTAATGCGTTATATTTTGTCTTCCTCTCTAGTATTGAAAATCTCTAGCGAGGACAAAATGCTGTACAAGACTCTTGAAAAATACTAATACATTTGCTCATATTATCCATGTGCTGGCAACCTTGCACTGGCTCCTAATCCACCTGAGATGTGATTTCAAGTTTTTGCCCCTGACCATAAAATATCATATAGCCTTCCAATCTAGCTGACTTATGTCCTATTCAGACGCCATGAATTTTTGTCATTCCCGACAGTCGCGCTGTGAGACTACCAGATAAATATCGTTCTGTGTTTTGGACCGCGCAAGATGTCACACTACAAGTCCATCACAGCCCAATCGTCGCATGCTTCCGTCAAGATTCAGCCATCGGCCCAGGTCCATCGGGGAGGTGGGACAAGCAGTTCTAATGTAAGCCAAGGTGGTCAGTTGCTGTATTAAAACTGATAAACCTGAGAAACTCCTGCTTTGATGCCGAAGCCCAGAGTCTTTCTTTGTGAAGACAAAGTAAATGGTTTCCTTGGCAGGCAGGTAACATGCTGTAAACACATTATCACCGGCCATGACTCAGACACACTTTGTTGTTGAATTTCACATTTAATTATCCATCCATCCATTTTCAAATCCGCGTATCCACACAAGGGTGTGCTGGAGCCTATCGCAGCTGTCTTTGGGCAGTAGGCGGGATACACCCTGAATTGGTTGCCAGCCAATCGCAGAGCACACTTAGATGAACAACCATTCGCCTTCACAATCACGCCTCGGGACAATTTGGAGTGCCCACTCAAGCTGCTATGCATGTTTTGGGAATTATGGGAGGAAACCGGAGTACCCGGAGAAAACCCACGCAGGCACGGAGTGAGCATCCAAACTCCGCACAGGGAGCCCGCAGCCGGAATCGAACCCTGCACCTCTGCACTGTGAGGCGGACGTGCTAACCAATCCACATTTAATTAATGGAAAAAAAAAATACCAGACCTTGATAGAAGAGTCCTTTTTTTTGGACTGATGTTATTTAGCTTCTGCAGAGCTTACATATGAGCTGATCATTTGAAGAATTAGGTGTGTTGGAGCAGGGAGACATATAAAACATCCAGGACACCGCCCCTCGAGGACCGTAATTGCCCACCCCACATGGGGTGCACACACAATGCATTTTTTAAAATGTTCATGAGGTGTCAAGTGTGTCCACTGGAGAGATCACGTTGAAGGAAACATCATGGATTGATTCTGACCAATAATAAAGTCTTTGAAATTTGCTGGAGAAAACTTTGAACAACTTTCAACAACAGTTTCTCATTTTCTTGTACTGAGTAATGGAAAAAGGACATAATGCATGCACAACACCACAGCAGGTGAATAAATATGGTGTACTTAACTAACAACACTTGGAAACTGATTTGGAATATAACATTACTGTAGTCGGTACTGCTGACCCCCACAAGGGTCACGCGTGTGCTAGAACCTATCCCAGCTGACGACGGGCAGGCGGGTTAAACCCTGGACTGGCTGCCAGCCAATCGCAGAGGTATTCATTTTCCAATGTGAAATGTTATTGTTGTGTAATGTCCTGTGGTTTTGGGTTGCAGGGGTGTAGAACTCTACTGATTGTGCTGCAAGATAATCAGAGCCGTGCCTAATAATTTGTTTACATGAATTTGTTAAATCAGAGTCAAAAATATTAGACTCGGCTCTCAGTATGATGCAGTACAGTTTAACACCACAAACCAAATGATCACATTTTCAGTTCAAAATGACCATTATTATCTTTGTAAAAGCAGCACATGTCATACTGCTACCGTTTTGGAAAACATTGCACTATGTAAGTGGTCAGAATGTTCCTGTTTGCTTAATCTGTCCATAAACTAATTAAAAGTGTATGTCTGCAAAAGGTTATGAGTTGAACTGTTTCTTAATTCTATGCCGGGTCACTGCTTCTATCATTGCTGCTTTTATATTACCATCCACCGGAGGGGATTTCTTCAAGGATGACTGATTCTTAAATTCGACAAAATTAGTTCACAAAGATAGACAAGATGTCCTATTTTCTTCTTGGCGGTCGTGGAATTGCAGCCACACTTTTATGAATTCAAATACTCAAATATTTAGCTCCTTCAAGCTACCTGGTCAAAATAATGAGTTGCTGGCCGTGAAATTAAAATGATTAAAGGTGGCTTAAAATAGAGTTACTGAAGTATGAACGTAGATAGATAGTGCCCCTCGTCACTCTTTTGCAAAACAAGACCTCTCTTTTATGCCACCTTTTGTGTTGCCCACGTCACCTGTGAAACTCATTTGCATACTAATGCTTTAATAACATTGTTACAAGTTCCACTTGACCCTCAAAGGAAAACATTTTTCTTCCTTATACTGTTAAGCAGAGGCCTTCACCTCGACAGCATATCCAAAGACACTAGTGGAACATCCAAGTTGAAGTGCTGTAACATGCAAAGTTCAATAGACGAGTGGCTCGCTCATACAGTCCTGAGGTTCTGAATTTGAATCTTTGCTCCGGCATTTCTGTGCGGACTTTGTATGTTCCCGCCCGCTTGAATGTATGCTGTCTGGCTTTCTTTCACATTCCAAAAACATGCACCCAATGTTAATTAAAGACTGTCCACAGAAAATGGACGCATGGATTTTTTCCATTTTCTGTAGCACTTATCCTTATTAAGGGAGGCGGGCAAGTGTCCCAGTTCACTTTGGGTGAGAGGCGGGGTAAACTCTGGACTGGTCTCCAGCCAATCACAGAGCAATCAGTCAACAATCAGTCACACTCAGCCCAATAGTGACTTTAGAGTCTTTAATCAAAATAATGTTGCATTTCATATGTACTTCTGTTAATTGTTTCTGTTCGTTTTGCCACCACAGAGTGTGCCAGTGATGGCAAAGAGGAGAAATATGATTTTGGATGCCTAATACAAAATTGCTAACAGTCACAGAAAAAAGGCCATTAAAAATTAGGTGCCTTTAATTCTAAAGGCCCATCCATGACTGTTGTCTTTTTAGGATGATCTGTAGGTGTTTTCGACTGAAATCATTTTTGGTCTATTAAATCCTTAATCTATAAATTCCTGGTAACGTTCCAGAATCATGCTAATTATAGACCCGTGCGTAATCCATTGAAAATAACTAGAGCTATGACTACATGGCTGTAATACATCTCATCGTTTGAGTGAATGATATTCTATCTACAATAAATGATACTGCAGCATCTTTGGTTCACTTAGCATCAGGGAATTACTTGTAAGGTGATCACTGTTTAAAGTTTACTCACTAGGAAGCTCGTGCCCCATCACCAAATGTGGCGCGTGCAGCCTGTGTGACATAATAGGAACACATTGCTTTCTTGCTACCTCATGATTTCATTTCATTTCCATGTGATTTAGTGTACTTGCCATGATTCTTCCACAGTTCCGCAGCCAACACCTTGGAAATCAAATGATCACAACAATTAAATGCGCGTGATTTATAAGCATATATGGCTTTTTATTTTGCTGGCTTCTGTGCAATGAAACACTGCTTTTAATTTGTACCTCTAATAAAATAGAGGAATTTCTCACAGATGATTCATTGTACAGTTAGGAAAAATATTCACAGTCTCACATATTAAACACTCACACAGATACTAAGTGGCATATAGACAGTCT